TCGAAGGTGAGCGAGAAGGACCAGATGAAGCAAAGGCGCTCTACCTCGGTCTCGGGCTTGAGCCACACGGTCCAGCTTCGGTGGTGCTTGAAGAAACTCAACTCGCGCAGTCGCACCCGAAAGGCCGGGAACGACGCCAGGGCCTCGCTGCGCACGCCACCTATGTCAATTTGGGCCGAGGCCGAAGGGCCAGCAGGCGTCGTCAGCAAAGGACCACCACACGAACCGGAGCTTCTGGGCGGCCTCCGGGAACTGCTGGTTGGGCACGAACGGGTAGATCATATTCACGTGCGGCAGCCATCTGACGATGACGATGACGACAATGTAGAACGGTCAAGTCCCGCACACGGCGCGCGGCGAGGTTGGTGGTGGGTTGCGTGACGAGGTTTACCTTACGAAGCCGGTGTCGTGAATGCGGCGGATGGCTTGGAGGGCCGGCCACGCCTCGATCGGCGGCACCATCACGATCGAACTCCTGTACGACTTCCTACTCACACGAAAAAAAATCTGTAAATATATAAATAATAAATAATAGCCACAAATCAAAATGTAATTAAATATAATTCAAAAAAAAATATAAATGGATGGGTGGGTACATGAGGGAGGGGTCGGTGGGCTCGGCCGGCTCGCCGGTGGCGGAGGGGGCGGGCCGGCCTCGTGGTGCCTGTCGGGCGGCACGGGCCTGCAGCTTGCGCTCGAGATTGGAGAGCTTTCGTGGCTTGACGGGCTTGCCGCTGTTCAGTGCCTCCTCTTCAGCCTCGTCCGCCAACCCCTGGCCGGCGACCTCACCTCCTTCCTCCTCTTCGCCTTCTGCCAATATCTCCACCTGCTCCGGTACAGCTGGTGCTGCCGCCCTTTCTTTTTGCTCCACCTCCCTTTCCTTGTGCTGCAGCTCAGCTTGCAGTGCGTCCTGGCCTTCCATCTTGCTCTCAATCTTACTGCCCTGCAGAAGTACAACCACAAAAGAGCTGCTAATATGAATAATCTGATAATCTGCAAAGTTTGGTGAAAGCTATCTGAGAAATTCTGTTTTTTTCAAATTTTTCCAGTAAATAAAATAAACTAAAAATTTTAGGTCTTTAAAACTTTTTACCAGCAAATCTGCAGGCGAGATGGAGGTGTGTGGTCGGTCGCTGGCTGGGGTGGACGGGCCTGCCTGGTGGCAGCGGTGGAGTGTGAAGCCTACGACCTGCGCGGTCTGGCGGAGGTGCCGCGGCTGACGCCGGCGTCGCTGGTGACACTGTGCCGGCTCAAGGTGGAAGCCCTGGCGCTCTGCGGCGACATCACCTTCGGCCAGCTGCAGCTCATCGCGCGCGACTACCTCTCCGTCCTGCCGCGCGGCGTCATGTGCCTCTTCGTGCAGTCGCTGCTGGCCAAGAGCCTCTCCAACCTCTTCCCCCTCAGGTACCCCTTTCAATTTGATATTTAATTGAAATTTTAATTTTAATAAATTCTTTGTTTATATAATTGAGCAGGCTGTTGGGCAGGCTGCACCTGGCCTTCCCCTACGCGCTCCTGTGCCAAGTCCCTCTCGTACAAACTCTCTTGATAATTATTATATAAATACTTATTTTATTATTACACAAAAATAGCAACATGTTGTGTTAACCTTGTTGTGCTTTGCAGGTGTGCTTGGAACACCCCAACAAAGCGAGAATGTTCACCTTCCCTGAACGTACCGACGGCTACTACTGCTCCATCTGCTCCATCATTTCCTGTCGTTCGTACTACTCGACCAACATGTTTGCTTTTTTTTTCCTCGTCTCACCACTGCCTCGGTCCAGCGGAGTGCTTGATCAGGTGTCACTTTTGCGATGTTCTGCTCTGCGCGAATTGTGGTGCCAAGAAGTGGTGCGACTCTCATGTGTGCTGTGTGTCGTGTGTCGTGTGTCTCGGTCGTGTGGTGTTGTGTTGTGTTGTGTTGTGTTGTGTTGTGTTGTGTTGTGTTGTGTTGTGTTTGCGTCGTACGTGTGCCATGTGATAAAACTTACATGGGCCACCAGGGAGTGCGAAGTGCCAAGGACCACAGAAAAGGAGTGGGAGGCATCGAGAAGGCCCTTGCCGCCAGAATTCGATGAGGTGGACCTGTGGACGTGCATGGATTGCGATCCCGAGGTACCGCCACATGCGTGCGGTGGTGCGCGTGCGCGTGCGGTGGTGCGTGCGCCATGTGTGTGAATGTGCAAGCGCGCTCAAGCATGCTGCCGGACGCTGTGTGCCTGATACAACGACAGATGGCCTTCGCCTGGGCGTACGACGCTCGGGAGGAGTATGAGGACGAATTGGCAGACGACTTCTGGGAATGTGCTAGGTGTGGCCACACTCTCGAGGTATGTGCAGCCCATCCAATTCACAACGCTCACGTACACGCATGATCGCACGCGCACGCGCGCGCGCACACGCAGGCTCGCGCGTAACCTGCGGTACAACAGGACGACTATTACGAGGGCCAGGTCCTGAGGGAGGAACTCGAGAGGGACCAGGAGAAGGCGTTCTCCACCTGCGCGGGGTGTGGTGATTTGGTACGCGCACCCCTCAACCAACGCCAGCCAGCCAGCGCCAACCAACCACAACGGGACACAACACGGCCAGGTGTGCGAACGATGTGTCGTTGAGTGCGACGAGTGCGGCAGGACCTTGTGCCCAGCGGAGCCACAGGTCTCTTGCCTCCGCTGCCACAACCAAAACCTGTGCTCAGATTGTCTGTACGTGCACGTCGCCCACATGCGTGTGTGTCGTGTGTCGTGTGTCGTGTGTCGTGTGCCGTGTGCCGTGTGTCGTGTGTCGTGTGTCGTGTGCCAACACTGACATCAGAGGGTGGGCACAGGTGTGTGCTCAATGGCAAAGATGTCGAGGAGGTGTGCTGGAGCTGCTACAAGGACACGCAGGACTGCCAGAAACGACTGGCCGCCATGGTGGCCTTCCTCGACGACAGCCTGCCGCTGGGACTGCGCAGGGAGGTCGCCGCCGCGATCATTCGGCACGGCGGCCGCGTTGTGTCCTGCCTCGGCCCTGGCGTGACCCACCTCGTCCGCTCTTCGGCACAGCAGCAAGACGCCACCGCAGCCGAGCATCAGCCAAAGTCGCCTGCTGGAGGTGGCTGGGTGGTGGTGCCGCCGTCGGTGGTGCTCTCCTGGTGCGCCAACCTGCAGCGCTGAGACCAATCCGCCCAAGCCGAGCGACCCCGTGGCCAAAAGGCATCCAAACATGGAAGCAGTCAACCCGAACATTCAAAGACCGGCATGTGTGGCCTGCTTGACGCTGAGGGATAGCTCTATGCCAACCTCACCATAACCTGATGACTATGAGCCCGCTACAGGAGAAGACCGGCCGCTGTTGGATCTCTCTCTCTCTCTTTCACTTTCCTTATTTGTCTGTGCCTCCTCACTCAGTACCGCTCGCACGGACACCAAATACACCTTCTTTTCTCCTCCAAGATCGTCAACAGGTTATGGGCCCACGCTCTCACTGAGCCCTTCAAAAAACATAACCATCTAAAGCTCCTCTGAGCATGTCACTTAAGGACACTACTACCTTCAAGAAACTCAACAGTACAAACAATTATCTTCTCTGGCAGCACAACAACAGCCATAATCTATGGACCTATGTCAAGAAGGACTACCAACACGTCATCAACTTGCTGGCTCATTACAACAAAGAAATCTTCAACTCACTTGCCTCTTCCTTCATCAAAGCAGCCCTTCAGCCCCCTCAGGACCCTGACCTGATAGTGTCATCATCAGTGGTCCCCCTGGGCAAGAAAGCTCTCTTGCTCCAGACAAAGAAGCTCTCCAAGGCCAGGGAGCAAGCCAACACCACTCAAGCTGAAGCCCTTCTTGCCAAGAGCGCTCTCAAGAAGGACTCAGCATCACCTAGCCTCCTCAATAGGGCCAGGAAGACAGCCAATGTTGCACTCACCACAACAAAGAAGGCTAATCTTCTCCAGACTTCCCTCACAAAGCCCACAACTGCAAAGTCACCATTCAAAGACAACAAGGATCTCACCTGGTTCCTCTCCTACGCCCACAAGATCCAGTCTGGAAGCTCCCAGACCCACACACTAATCAGTGCATCCCTCAACACACAGCTCCAGAACTACATCAACTACAAGCTGAAGAACCCCTTTTGGCTGTGGTCACTCATCAAGGAGCATTTCCACAACAAGGCCTTCAATCTCAAAGCCAACCTCTACACCTAGCCCACATGGTCCAACTCTGGGCATTGGTCACTGCATGAGCTGTGGCACAGCTCTCCACTGTCCATGCATCACTTCCATGTCTTTGGGTCTGCAGGGACCATGATGACACCAGGCAAGCACCAAAGCAAGCTCAGCACATGCACCATGCCCATGCGCTTCCTCAGCATCAATGCTCACTCAACCAGCACATATCACATCCTGCTACTTGACACAGGATGCATCACTCATACACACAATGTTGTGTTCAATGAGCAGTCCAACTCCACACAGGCCAACAAACCCATCACCCACACCTCTCTACCACTTGTTCTAGACAGCATTGACTCATGGCCTGACATCTATGACCTGCTGGCGCCCAATCACACAGTTTGAGCAGGGGGAGCAGATCTCACCAACTGTGTCACCCGCCAGTGACACATCAACACCATCACAGTCCACAGCTGACTCAACAGCCAGCAACGCCCCTTCATGCACCAACCATACCAATCACTCATCACCATCAGCTGACAGAGTCATCAACGCCCAGCCAACAGCTGTACTACCCCCAGCCTCAACCATACATCCTGTCCCTCAAGTTGTCAAGCCACCAGCAAAGACATTGACAGTTCACACATTGAAGAACAGCAGCTACAAGGTCCCAACAACTGGTGATCAGCACCTTGCACTCCAGCTGCCAGATCTATGTGCCTGTCAACTCCAAGGGAACCAACTATGCCATGACCAAGTCAACCAAGCCCACCAACAAGGTCAACGTGCTCATCACTCACAACAACACCTTCAAGATGGACTCTCACCACAGTCACCAAGATGGAGGACGCCCTCCTCAACACCAACTACAGGCCAACACCTATGTATCTTCAAGACGTTCTATCATCACCTCTCCACAACAAGTCGATAACAGCCATAAAGAAGGAGTTTGACACCCTCATGCTCAACAACACATTCAATCTTGTCAAACTTCCCCCTGGCCATAGAGTGGTCAGCACACACTGGGTCCTCTGAATCAAGGATGACACCACATTCAAGGCTCACTTTGTTGCAAGCAGTTTCTCTCAACACAAGGGAGTCAACTACAAGGACACCTACACCCCAGTTCTATGCCTGGAGAATCTGCACTTCCTCCTCATGTATGCCATCCTGATGGGTCTATAGATCCACCAGATGGACATCAACAACACCTTCCTTCAAGCCATCCTCAACAAGGTCTATGTCACTCAACCAGAGGGCTTCATCAACACAACACAACCCAGCTTCATCTGCCACCTCAAGAAAGCTCTCTACAGCCTCAAGCAAGCCCCACTGGCTTGGAACCACACTCTCAACATGTTTCTCATCAATCTCAGCTTCACAGCAACTACAGCTGATCCCTGCATCTACAGCTACCACAACAATGATGATGATCCCTACAACGCTAGGCTTCACCACACCTATCTACTTGACAACAGTCAACACCAGATCTTCCTCTCCATCTACATCAACAATCTCCTCATCATCAGGCACATCAACAATGTCAACTACATCAAGCAGAAGCTCAGACCAGTTCACTCTTCCATGGCATCAGCTCCTAGCACCCCTATGCAGGTTTTCATTCACCCATGCCCTTTTTTTGTTGTGTACATGTACATGATGAAATATATCACTGACTCTCAAAATCAACAGCAGTCCCAGCTCTCCACAACCCCTCACTCAGAACCATTGCACAAGAGAAAGCATTGAGATCATGAGGATACTGACACCCATGCCCACAGACGCAGCAGTGCCCACAATGACCACCACAAGCACAGCCATGGATCACAACACAAGCACCACAAGAGCAGGAGCCAGAGCAGGGACAGAAGCCACAACTCTGACATTGACCAATTGCCTGACAGGCTGCTGTAATCCAGGATGCAATGTTGGATGAACACTGTGTCCAGAAAAAGGTGATAGTGGTACTTTTTAATGAAACACTGTGGAATTTGAATGTACACAGAGAAGAGAAGTTTTATTTACAGGTGTCTAAATATTGCTTGAAGGGTGGGTGGGGGAACTCTGGTGTTGGCGTTAAAGTCAAAGCCACAAGCTAAAACAGACCCCATTGGAACAGTGCTTTCTGAGCCATGGTCAGTCCAGCATCCATTAGTGAAGTTCCACCAGTGGACATGGAGCCTCTTATGGAGAATGCTGATGATCTTGCATATCCAAAAGTCCTGAGTGTCTTCATCAGCATCAGCCTGGACAGCAACCCACTGACCAGGAGCAAAGTTGAAATGTTGGACTTGGGGTGTAGTCTGTGTGTGGACAACCTTGACCCTGGTTTGGAGATGGAACAATGGACCATCAAGGAGAGGATTAGTGATGGGGTGAGCTGTGAGTCCATCAAAAATCAAGTTATTGCAGGTGGGTTGGGAGCTTGAAACAAGAGCCTCATGTGCTTCAAAGATATCAGCCCACTCACTAAGCTCAGACTCAAGGAACAGTGGAGCATGGCAGTTGTCAGCCAACTCAGTAAGCACTTCAGGCGGAAATTGCTGAGGTGGGATAGTGAAAGGTGCTCCTGATGTGGTTTGTGTAAGTTGTGATATCTTTTGGTAGGGTGTGTGCAACATAGTGAGGAGCAAACCAGTTGGAATGGATGTGAGAAGCTGGTATGGCTCAGAGTAGGCTCCTTGGGTGTGGTAGGCTTTGTCCCAGATCACTGGTTTGCCTGAAGCATCACAGAAAAAATGGAAAACATGGGGGGTGGAGTGACCAGTCAGGCCATGCATGTGATTTCCAAGCCAGCTCTTCCAGTCCCAAACAGTTTCAAGGGTGTGCAGGGAAGGAGCTGGGCCAGTGGATCAGTAAGCCTGCTCAAGAAAACCAGAAAGTTGACTGAAATTTGAAGATGAAGTTAGGAAGGTGAACAAAAAGGGGCAATCATTAATGCTGACAGAAAAAACTGATGCACATTGGGGTAATGAGTCAACAAATAAAAAACCCAATGCGCATCAGGAAAACAATTGGTGGCATCAGTCCTTGTAACTGAGGCATTCTGCAGAAGAAAGTGCAAGGTGGTGAGTCCATGCACTTGCAAACTGTGCTGCCTCAAGAGGGCTTTTGGCTCTCAAGCGTTGCTGTGCAAAGTCAATGCAAGCAGAGCACTTGCCAAGGCGTGAGTTCTTAGGCAACTTCACATAGGCAAAGTGGGAAGCAATGTGTTTGAGCATAGCAGAATAGGTGAGCACAGGAACAGTTGAGTGATGAGCATTGGCACACATAGAGAGCACTTCTCGCCAAGTCAAAGAAATAGGTAAGTGGATGGTGGCATCAGGAAGGCGATCTCCAATAACATCAAAGAAAGTGGTTAGCCATAAGTGGGTATTTGAGGTGGCATTTGAGGGACATTGCTGTCCAGTGGTGTTGTGTATTGGGACACGCCCACCAGAAATGAAAATCTGTTTAGCAGAATGCCACTTCTTCCTGCTGAAACCATGTGCCTTTTAGAGCAGCAATGTGAGGTGGGATAACAAATGTAAGGCCACAATAAAAAGGGTTGGCACCTTTTGGAAAGCATTCAAACACACTGGAGAACCATTGAGTTGCAACTTGAAGTGGCACTCAGGTAGTGTTGAGACACAGATGGCTGACATGATGTTGATGATGTAGGTGGTGCAATCACGTTCATTGAGATGCAAAGGGTTGTGTGATGTTGAGAATGTCAGCAAAGGAGAAGTTATCAAGGCATTTCTTACAACAACAGAATGATGCAAGAACAGTATTGATGTGATCATTGCTGACAAGCAGGCAACACTTTTTGGGGATTCACTCTTCAGCAGTTTGGAGAACTCTCTTCCTTGGAGTATGAGCTGTGGCTTGTAAGGACTGGCTGAAGATTGGGGATAGTAGGGTAGAGGTGAGGACCTCTGTGTTGGTGGGGAGAGAGTGGCTCATTGAGGTGGAGAACAACTGAATGACACTGGAGAGGTATTTAAACATTTGGTGTGATACCTCTGATTCCCAACAGCCACATAACAGATAGATGTGGTTTTTCTGGATTGGTGAACATTGTGTTTCTTGGAACTCCAGACCAATGAGCTCACAACTAATAACAGTGGAGTTGAGGAAAATACAGGACAACTTTAAAAACCCAACGCCATTGGGAAACAGGACAACAAAATAAAACCAATGTGCATTGGGATAAGAGTCAACAAATAAAAAAACCTGATGTGCATTGGGAAGCAAGTCAACAAATAAAAAACCTGATGCACATTAGGAAGCAAGTTGACAAATAACAAACCTGATGTGCATTGGGAAGATCTCAAAGCTCTCCAGACCACATGAAATTTCGCCCCCTGTTTTCTGTCCCTCCAATTAGAATTTAATGTGGACAGCTTTTTTTGTAGACCTACATTACCTATAAAACGTTGAACAACCTGTTTTGATCATTTTGTTGTACCACCCATGTTCAACACACACTTCCTTTCAATGTCTTCTTGCCAAGCTGCCTCTGGCCTTCCCAACTTCTTGGCCATGTTGGCCACTGAGCTTTTAGCAAGCTCCTGTAATGCCCTAGTGAAGGTGCACCAGCAACCCAACACCAAGGTTATCACCAAGGTGTACATTGATGGGTTGCTGCAGGCGTGGGGCCAAGACACTGGCTCCATGAAGCAGCAGTCTCTCCAACTGCTAATGCAGTGTATGCCAATGATAGCAGAGGAGGGAGTGAAAGAGCTGATGGACATGGAAGAGGAGGAGGAGGAGAGGAAGGAAAAGGAGACAGAGGAGGAGGAAGAGCAGGAGAAGGAGCTGGAGGAGGAGGAGGAGGAGAAGCAGGGGGAGGAGGAGAAGGAGGAGGAGAAGGGGGTGGAGCTGGAGGAGGATATAGTGGAGGAGGAGAAAGAGGAGGAGAAGGGAGAGGAAGCGCTGGAGGAGGAGCAGGAGGAGGAGCTGGAGGAGGAGGAGCACCAAGCACTGCCAAGGAAGTGCAAGCTGGTAGAGGAAGAGCACAAGGAGAGGAAACACACACGCCCAGAGGTGATTGACATGGACAAGGAGATGGAGGCAGAGGAGATCAAGACCAAGCCTCACCATTACTTTCACTTACACCACTATTATCTGACTTCAGCCCATGGTACCCACTGCTGCTGAAGCTTCTGGCACCACTCTGACCACCCCAACCAGTATGTTTTCATTTTGCTGGTAAAGTTCCAAGCTCACCACATGCTTGTTCTTTACAGTGGCCAAGAAACATGGCAAGGGTAAGGCTGAAGAGGAAAAGTCGCCATCTACCATCAAGCACAAAGCAGAGCTTGCTCTCCAGAAAAAGTATCTCCCCCAATTCACCAAGCCACTCACCAAGCTTCTTGCCCAACCAATGCAATTCCATGAATGGCTGGTGTGTTTATTGGCCTGCCTTGTTTTCCTGATGTGCATCAGTTTTTTTATTTGTTGACACTTTTCCTGATGTGCATTGGGTTTTTATTTGTTGACTCTTTTCCCTGATGTGCATCAGTTTTTCACTTATTCCTGATGTCCACTGGTTTTTTTCTTCCACAGGTGTTGATCTACATGCACAACTTTACCATCCACAGCTCAGACATTCCTCTCAACATTGATGATGCAGCAACTTGCCTATTGAAGTCTTATGGCATTGGATTCTACATCTCCTCATCTCCCTCCAACATTGCCAATGCCATCACCTCACTCAAGTCACACTCCACCCTCCAGGTCTTCCACCTACTCCACAGCTCCCCAACTTACTCCAGCTCCATGCCCACCTCTGAACCTCTTGTCAGTGGCTTTGATGTTCTCATCTTCAGCCACAAGAGGGTTAACATGTCCACCATCTGGCATCCTCTGGCCAGCGACACCATCCCCAAACCCTTCTGCTATCTGCACCACATCCCCATCCCACACCCAACACATGAGGTTGTCCACTCTGCTCCTGCTTTCCTCACTGCTCAATCATTGGACCACACCCCACTTCACATCAGCCTCTACAGCTTCCTCATCCAGAGCTTAGAGCTTCCCAATCCTTCTCCCCACCCCATCACATCGCCCACCACCCCCTACCACATTCTCTATGAGGCAAATCCCACCTACTACCTCTCCTTCTGTGCTGCCCTTTACTCCAGCTTTGTCTGCCTCTCCTCTACCCCCATAGCAGAGGGCAACATCTCCTCTCTTGGCAACTGGTTCCTCACCTTCCACTCTAAATTCCTGGAGGAGTCAGATCTCACAGCCATCACTTCCTTCCTACAAGGCCTAACTTCACATCCTGCCCTTGCCCCTCTCACACCCAAGACCAGCTCCTCCTCCTCTTCTGGTCCACAGAAAGTGCAGAAGTCCATTGGCTAATGTTTCCCTCCACTCTGTTCTGTTCCTCATTCCAACAAAATACATTAGCCCTTTTTTACACTTATGCCTTGAAATTCGTCATTGGCCCCATCTGCTTTTACCATGACCTACACCATTTTTCCCTGTTTTGCCACTCTCTGTACATATTTTGCCAAAACCACTCACACACCATGTTCACAAAAGTACTGCTTTCGCTGCACATACACATATATCACTTGTACAGATTTTACTTAACAAAAGGTGCCACTGGCACCTTTTTCTGGACACAGTGTTGATGGGTTGGAGTGAATGAGGATGCTGTTGATAGTACTTGAGATGATGTTGGTCTCAGTTTTGTTCAGTTGCACAGAAGCTCCATTGATGTGGTAGCTGAAGTTGAGATGGAAGCAGGCATGAAGTGGAGTAGCATGAAGTGGAGTGTAGTTGAGAACACTTCACACTTCAGTGCTGGAGGCGTAGGCAGTGAGGACAAGCTGATAGAAGACATGACCTATTGTTGGTAGGAAAGCAGGTGAGAAGAGCATGTGCCACCAAGTCACATGAACAAAATACATACTCAGTTGATGCACTTCAGGAGCAATGTGGACCCACTTCAGGTTCCACCTCTTGATGAGGGAGGGCTTCTCATAGGCCATGAGCTTGGGAATCTTGGCGATGTCCTGGACCAGCAGTGACTCTGGATTGAAGGTATAGGACTTGTTCACTCAACCAATGAAGATGGTGTAGAGGCCTGTGTGAGTATTGTGTACATGTACACAATGAGTTGTCAGCATATTTCTAAAAGGAGTAAGCTGTGGAAGGGGTAATGAAGAGCAATAAGTCATTGTGTACATGTACATGATGGAATGTACCATTGTGTTGGACCCCACCAGCGCTCTTGGAGTGGATGTTGGGGATGCTCCCTGAGATGAGACACAGAAGCTGCCAGGGGCTATTCTCATCAGCAAGGAGGTTGAGAAGAGCTGCCATTTCCAGCACATTGGTCATCAGGATGGCAGCAAAGCAGTCTGTGTGGTGAGACAGGTTAGTAATCAAACACATGAGCCTTGATTTGGAGAGCATGGCATTATGTCATACCACGTTGATTCAGATTGGTGTAACCCATCATCTGGTTCAGCCTGTGCTGATCCCAGTGGTGAGTGGATGCATGTCACACAGGATGATGTTGACTAGCTTGGGATTCATGCAAGTGACCTGGAGCTGTTCAATGCACTTGTGGAGGTGCTTCTGGTTGGATCTGGTTTTGTTGTGTGTTCATGCTGGTTCAAAAGGTTCTTCTGCCAAGTTGGTGGATTTCCTCTTCCCTTTAGCCTTCACTTACATTTCTCCTTTTCTTCAGCTTTCTCCTTCTTCTCTTTCTCCTCTTGAATCCTCTCTTGCAACTCTGGGATAATGTCTTCAATGTTGATGTGTGGATTGCTGAGGATCAGAAGAAGTTGCTCCTGGTCACAGGTGATGTGATGATCCTAATGTAAAGCAAGCAATTGGATTGGCATATTGACTGCAATTCATCATGTACACATACACAATGAAAGAACTATGGAAAAGGAGAACATACCCACTCTCCAGTAGCTACCTTGTTCTTGAGGTGGATGAAGTCCCTATCCATGAGGAGTGTGGCCACCTTTCTCACCTTGCTCAGGAACTGGACATGTCTCTGGCAGGCAATGAGGAGCTCATTGAAGGCTGGATGAGAGTACAGTTGGCACAATGGGATAGTTGTAAGGCTTCACAAAGAGCATGAAAAGCATACCTCCTTCAGGAGCTTCAACAGCTCCTCATCAGTGGCCATGGCAGTTGGCAGGATTACTTGCTCCTCTCTGGCAGGTCTTGTTTGGGCTGTCACATCAACCTGAAGAAAGTGAAAAAAATAGCACCACTGGAGCCAGCTCCATCATGGAGATGTCACAAGATTTTCTTGGAGCACCAGAGGTAAGTGTGTTTGATTTCTAATGAAATGTAGTCCTTTATAAATCTCACCATGATAGATTACTTATATAAAATGGTGGTTATGATTGATTATAAGAGTCAATATTGTTGAATAGAATGGAATTATGGAGTATAATGAAACAACTGTACTATGATGGGATGACACCATGAAATGAAAGGATGGCATAAATTAGTTTTAGTGTATATTTAAAATGATATTTCATTGTGTACATGTATGCAATGAAATTGTGTCTATAAATGCTAATAAGATTGCATCATGTAGGTGTACATGATGGGATGGTGCATACTGATTCAGTTGGTTTTGTCTTGTTCTTCTCCACCTCTGCCACACCTGTGACATAATTCTGAAGTGGAAGACACATGATTTGATTAAATCACACTACTTTCATTAAACAAACTGTGCTATTGATGTACTGTGCACATGTTTTGAAGTTCACTGAGGCTCTTCTTCTTGAGGTTGCTCTCCTTCTGCTTCTTCCACTCCAGTTGCTTGACCATCCACTTGGCAAGCTCAGCTGCACACAACTGTGTGTAGGTTGGAAAATAATAATGACCATTGCACCATGTTCAGCCTTAAAAGGACTATGCTCAACCAATGAGCTTTTTTGCAGACATTTCTTAAAAAGTGTTAGGACCAAGGCCACCAATGGTGACAGCCCACTCTGAATGTCATTGGCTGCTGGTTAGATGGTAGGCTGGTTTGCATTGACACCAACTTCAATTCTTATCCTACCCTCTCACTCCACCACATCTCTCAACTGCTCACCCATGGAGGCATTGGACAGTGATACCTGGTTTGTCCCACACTTCTTTTTGATTTTTCCTGTAATTCTTGACCTTCTTTATCAAAATTTTGATGTACCACCTAAAATACTATTTATCATGACAATGTGTAACATGTACTTATTTTTCCTATTTTATCATCATGTATGTGTACATGATGATTTAACTATGTTTACATCATTTTCATTTCTCCACTTGCATGCACAAAATCATTGCATACACATACACAATAACTATCCTGTCTGAAATCACCTCTTAATTCTTACAGGCATTTCAACCCTTTTTTCAAAAATGGATATGACATCCCTGACACTCACTCCAGGAGTGATTCTGGTGATCTCACTGCAACACCAGTACTTGAGATTCCTGTATCCCTCATTCTGGATGTGTGCAGCAATGATACTGGTCAGCTGGCTACATCCAGCCAGCAGATCATGGATTCAGTGGACTGCTGTACACCACAGCCAGCAGCAAAAGTGCTTTCAACAGTTGAGGCATTAGACTTTAATTGGATCATTGCAAGTCCCTGCTGTTCTGTGCTCTGTCTGCACAAGTTCAATGTATCACAGATACAAGCATGCCACATCCAATATCTCAGCATAACCCAGGCAGCTTCACACCAATGACTGAGGACATTGATGGAGAACCAACCTCCACCATCAACTCTACCATTTACATCATCAGGTATTGTCCACACTACAGCTCATTGGAGATAGCTTCCTCACTACACCAGTAGCATGTTTGCAGGCAGGCATTTATGCTTGCTTACAGAATCTCTGAGAACAAAATGGCCAACTTCTCCATCATGGATACTCTTCAAACTGGAAGGACCTCCACCAACACTACAGCTCAGGCCAGCGCATGGATAACCATGTACACCAACATGGTATTACTTCCCTTATCTATCATGTATGTGTATGTGATAGAATATCCTCATTAATCATGCTCACAACTACTATAAATCACCAGTGTTTTTATTGTGTATGTGTATGTGATACTCATCACCTGTTTTGCTCACCTTCTCCCTTACTCAAGTATGGCTGTCATGCTCCCAACTTGACCTCTGTCTACATGCTGATGATCATGACCAAGGATCACCTCTACCAGAAATACTTGGATGCCTTGAACGCCCAGCACTTCACCCATGCAAAGCTGTTGAGTCTCACTCACTTCTGTAAGATGTTCAAAGGTGAACACAGGCACATCAAGTTCCCTTGTTTTGTGTTGGTGCTCCTTGGAACAACCTCAAAATGGACCTTGCTTTTGCTTTCACCCCCTCCATCAATTCTGTAATCAGTGGCCAACATGCTGCCCTCACTTCCAGTTCATGTACAACCTCACACCATATTCAGTCAGTTGCACTCACAGACAGAACTTCATTCTTCACATTTGTGCTGAATTAGAGCACTATTCCTGAAGTTAAAATTCCACTCCATTTCATGCTTGCCAATGTTCTGTGTGTGCTGTGGCCTGCCATAGCAACTGCAGTTCATGTCAACAATCAGGCCCCCATGAATTTGGATCTTGGCAAAGGGGAAGATGGAGGACACCAAAGGCCAGGCGCCAAAACATGTTGGACGAAGTGGGATTCGAACCCACGCCTGGAGACCCAGACTACGACCTGAACGTAGCGCCTTAGACCAACTCGGCCATCCGTCCTGCGATAAAAGATTAATAGAACAGTGATCTCCACAAACCAAAACTGAGGAAAGCCTGGCTTGCAGGGGGCTGGCTCATTGATAGGCTTGTTGGCAATGAGCCTAAAAGCAAAGCCATGTACAGAAACCAGCAAAAATGGGGTGTCAAAACAGAAAACAATAAAAGTGTGTGGGGTTCTTTCCAGGTCTTTTAAGGTGCAGGGTACAGAACCACTTGACCAAAATGGCCTTTTCATGCTTCTTCTGTTTTCAAAGGTGCACTGTACCCTTTTCATGAACACTAGGTTGATGCTGATTTGCCTTCTGGCCTGTAGACAGACAGGAGCCACTTGTGGAAGAGAGCAGCTACAATGTGGAAGGGGAAGTGTGTGCCACCTGCTTAAACAAGAGTACAGTGGGAGTATTGAACTGATCTGAGGGGCATGTGTTGCAGGAAGAGAGTAGTCCTTGCACCACTTCTTTATGTTGAACCAAGTGTTCAAACAAAAAAGGACAGTACCTCTTTTTCTTCTCTCAAATCAGCATAACTAGCATAAACAGTCATTGCCTAAATCCCAGTAGGCCAACTTCTGAAGTACTCAAAGGATGGTGTACACAGGTCAGGTTTGGCAATTAATGGACTTGTTCTGTGGGTGGAGAGAGGAGTATGGCCATTGTTGCAAATGGATTATTTTATTGTGGGAGATTGTGCTGGTGGTACTGGAGGGGATGAGGGAGTGGCAGGTGAGCTTGAAGAAGAAAGTGGTGATAAAGGGGTAGGGAGGGAAGAAAAGGAAGAAGTGGAGAAAAAGAAGGAAGGTGGTGGGTAGAGGAAGAGAGGAGAGTGGCCATATTTGCTGTTGTACCAACACAGGAAAGTGTTCCATGAGAAGGACACACTCTTGCGCCACAGCAGTCGAAACTTGAAA